GGTTGTCCTCGTCCTCGACGGGCGGCTCGGCCCACCGGTCGACGACGAGCCCCTCGGGAGCGCCCTGCGCGAGCGCGCCGACCTCGTCGAGCAGGTCGGAGGGGCCGCGCGGCGCCGCCCCGGTCTCGCCCCACCAGTGCCCGGAGACCAGCAGGGTGTGCTCGGCGCGGGTCAGCGCGACGTAGAACAGCCGCCGCTCCTCGACGAGCCTGCGCTCGTCGAACGCCGCCTCGTGGGCGTCGAGCGCGTCGGCGACCTCCTTGCGATCGGTGCACGCGTCGAGCTGCAGGTGCGGCAGGTCGGCGCGGTCGCCGCGCAGCGGGACCGGCAGCGACGGGACGGTCGAGAGCCAGGAGCCCGCCCGCTTGGCGGCCGGGAAGACCTTGTCGACGACGTGCGGGACCACGACCAGCTCCCACTCCAGCCCCTTGGCGGCGTGCACGGTGAGCACCTGGACCCGCGCGCCGCCCGAGGCCGGGCCCGCCTGCCAGGCGGTGTCGACCTCGCCCGGCGCGAGGCCGTCCTCGGCCTCCTCGGCGGTCTCGAGGTAGGCCAGCAGCGCCGTCGCCGTGGCGCCACCACCCTCGGCGGCCGCCGCGCCGACGGAGCCGGCGGCGAAGTCGGCCACCACGTCGGCGAAGGCGTCGAGGTGCGCGCGCCCCACCGGGCCCGGACGGGAGGCCGCCTCGACGTCGAGCAGCAGGGTGCGCTCGACGTCGGCGACGAGGTCGACCAGCGGCGCGGTGACCCGGCGGCGCAGGTCGGCGAGCTCGCGCGCGAGCGTCCGGATGCGCGCGTAGCCCGCCGTGGAGTACCGCGCCGACGGACCCGGGTCGTCGAGCGCGTCGACCAGCCCCGCCCGTTCACTGCCCTCGCCCGGCAGCGCCGCCGCGACCGGGTCGGCTGCCGCGCCCGCCGTCGCCCCCGAGCCGGCGACCGGTGCGGCGAGCTCGCGAGCGCGCCGCCACAGCGCGGCCAGGTCGGCTCCCCCGACCCGCCACCGTGCCCCGGTCAGCAGGCGGACCGCCGCCGCGCCCGCCAGCGGGTCGACGACCAGGCGCAGCGCCGAGACGAGGTCGCGGACCTCGGGCTCGTCGAGCAGCCCACCCAGGCCGACGACCTCGACGGGCAGGTCGCGGGCCCGCAGCGCGGCGGCCAGCTCGGCCATGTCGGCGCGGCGGCGCACCAGGACCGCGCTGGTCGGCGGCTCGGCGCCGGCATCGAGGGCGGCGCGCCAGCGGTCGGCGACGGCGTCGGCGAGCCAGGCACGCTCGGCGTCGACGTCGTCGTGCAGCGCCACCCGGACCCGACCGGGCTCGGCGCCCGGCCGCGGGCGCAGCTCGGCCACGGGGATCCCGGCGCGACGCAGGGGCTCGGCCACGGCGTTGGCCAGGGCGAGCACCTCGGGCGGGTTGCGGAAGCTGGTCAGCAGCTCGTGGCGCGCGGCGGCCACCCACCCCGGGACGCGCCCGCCCGCCGGGTCGGGGCGCGGGAAGTCGGTGGTGAAGCGGGGCAGGTTGGCCGCGCTGGCCCCACGCCACCCGTAGATCGACTGGAACGGGTCGCCGACGGCGGTGACGAACGTCGGCCGCCCGGTGTCGGGAGTGGCCTCGCGGGCCGCGGGCGTGTCGGCGGCGAACAGCGCCCGCAGCAGGACCCGCTGCGCATGGCCGGTGTCCTGGTACTCGTCGAGCAGCACCGCGCGGAAGGCCTGCCGCTCGGCGGCACCCACCTCGGGGTGCTCGTCGGCGAGGCGGGCGGCGCCCGCCATCTGGTCGGCGAAGTCGACCACCCGCTGACGGCGCTTGCGCTCGGCCAGCGCCTCGACCAGCGGCAGCAGGGCCGCGCGGAAGCGCTGGGCGGCGATGCGGTCGCGCAGCTTGCCCGACGGTGCCGCCGACTGCCCCTTGGCCCGCGGCGCCGACTCGGCCACGCGACAGAACCACTCCGCGTGCGCCCGCAGGCCGTCGGGCGAGGCGAGGTGCTCGCCGAGCTCGCCCGCCAGCGCCTGGACGTGCGCGGTGATCGTCGCGGGGACCTTGTCGGTGTCGAGGTCGGCCGTCCACGTGGCGACCACCCGGTGCGCCAGCTGCCACGACGCCGTCTCGGAGAGCAGGCGCGCTCCCGGGTCGAGGGGCAGCCGCAGCCCGTGCTCGCCGAGCAGGCGCCCGGCGTAGGCGTGGTAGGTCGAGACCGTCGGCTCGCCCACCCGCACGGCGAGGCGGCGCTCACCCGACGGGTCGAGCTCGTCGAGCAGCGGCGAGGCCGCGAGGCGCCGCAGCCGCTGGCGGATGCGGTCGGCGAGCTGGCCCGCCGCCTTGCGGGTGAACGTCAGGCCCAGCACCTGCTCGGGGGCGACGAGCCCGTTGGCGACCAGCCACACCACCCGCGCGGCCATCGTCTCGGTCTTGCCCGACCCCGCGCCGGCGGTGACCAGCGCCGACTCGAGCGGCGCGCCGATCACCGCGGCCTGCTCCGGGGTGGGGCGACGCAGCGAGAGGCGCTCGGCCAGCTCCTCGGGGTCGATCACCGCGACCCGGTCGACCGTCGTGCTCACGGGACCTGCCTCCCCGACGTGTGGACGGGGCAGGCCGTGCGGACCGGGCAGCGCGGGCAGATCGCGTTCTCGCGGCCGACGAACCCCGGGCCCTCGGTGGCCCGCGCGGCGGCGCCCACCTCGGCGCTCCAGCGGGCGACGCCCTCGGCGTCGAGGGCACTCTGCTGGCGCTCCTTGGCCTTCTCGCCGCTGCGGGCGAGGTAGACCAGGCGAGCGCCACCGGGCGTGGAGCGCGACGCGCCCGTGTCGGGCCCGGAGAGGCCCTCGGCGAACGCCCCGAGGGCGGTGGCCAGCTGGTAGACCGCGAGCTGCGGGTGCGCCTCGGCGTCGGCCTTCGACACCGGCGTCTTGCCGGTCTTCACATCGATGATCACGGGACGCCCGCGGCCGTCGACCTCGAGCCGGTCGACCCGCCCCCGGATGCCGACCCCGTCGGCGACCGCGACCTCGACCGCCTGCTCGACGGCGGCCTCGGTGAGCTCGGCACGGGTGGCGTCGCGCCAGCCGACGAACGAGCGCAGCATCCCGCGGGCGCGCTCGAGCTCGCGGCGCGCGAACCACGGCGCCCCCGCGTCGACCGAGGCCCACGCCGTCTCGAGCGCCTCGTCGAGCTCGCGCTCACCCGCCCCCTCGGCGGCGCGCTGGACCAGGGCGTGGACCAGCGACCCCGTGATCGAGGCCAGGGTGTCGCCGTCGTCGCCGCCGTGGGTCTGCAGCGCCCATCGCAACGGGCACGACATGATCGTCTCGATGGCGCTGGGGCTGACGGTCACCGGCGACCCGGCCGGGCGCAGCGGCGCCGTG